CAAGGGATTGAAAATCTATTTGAAGAAATAATGATGGAAAACTTCCCTAACCTGGCAAAGGAAATAGAAATACAAGCCCAGGAAGCACAGAGAGTCCCAAACAAGATGAACCCAAAGAGGCCCACACCAAGACACATCATAATTAAAATGCCAAAGTTAAAAGACAAAAAAAGAATCTTAAAAGCAGTGAGAGAAAAGCAGTTAGTTACCTACAAGGGAGCTCCCATAAGACTGTCGGTTGGTTTGTCAACAGAAATTTGCAGGCTGGAAGGGATTGGCATAAAATATTCAATGTGATGAAAGGCAAGAATTTACAACCAAGATTACTCTATCCAGCAAAGCTATCTTTTAGAATCTAAAGACAGGTAAAGAGCTTCCCAGACAAGAAAAAGCTAAAGAAGTTCATGACCACCAAACCAGTATTACAAGGAATCTTAGAGGGACTTCTTTAGGACAATAAATAAATAAATAAATAAATAAATAAATAAATAAATATCAAAAATATTAATAATAAAATGACAATAGCTACATATCTATCAACAACTACTTTCACTGTAAATGGATCAAATGCCAGAATCAAAAGACATAGGAGGGTTGAATGGATAAGAAAACAAGACCTTTAAATATGCTGCCTACAAGAGACTCACTTCAGTTTGAAGGACACACACAGACTCAAAGGGATGGAAACAGTTATTTCATGAAAATAAAAACAAACAGAGAAGCTGAGGTAGCAATACTTATACCAGGCAAAGTAGACTTTAAAACAAAGGCTATAACAAGAGACAAAGAAGGACCCAGTAATTCCACATTTGGGTATTTACCTGAAAAAAAACAAAATGAGACTTTGGCGGGACATGTACATCCATATGTTCATTGCAGTACTGTTTACAATGGCCAAGATGTGGCGGCAGCCTTTGTGTCTGTTGATGGATGAATGGATAAAGAGGAGGTGATTTTATATATATAATATATATAAAATATATAAAAATATATAAATATATATAAATACATATATGGTGTAATATTGCTCAGCCATGGAAGGGAATGGCTTGTTGCCATCTGCAGTGGCATGGATGGACCTGGAAGGTATTGTGCTGAGTTGAGTGTCAGACTGAGAAAGACAGATGCAATATGATTTCTCTAATATGTGGAATCTAAAGAACATAAACAAACAAACAAATCAGAATCAAACTTACAGATACAGAGAACATTTTGATTGTTGGCAGAAGGGATGAAACAGGAGAAGAGATTAACAAGTACAAATTGGTAGTTAGGAAATAATCATAAGGATGTAAAGTATAGCCTAAGGAATATAGCCAATGATATTGTAATAACTTTGTATGGTGTCAGACAGTTACTAGATTCACTGGAGTGATGGATGGGAGGGGTTGGGGGGCAGGGTGAAAAGGTGAAGGGATTGAAAAGTACAAATTTGTAGTTATAAAATAGTCATAGGGATTTAAAGTAAAGCATAAGGAATACAGTCAATAATATGGTAATAAATATGTATAGTGCCAGATGGGTACTAGACTAGATAGGGGAATCACTTCTTAAATTATATAAATGTCTAACCACTATGTTGTACACCTAAAATTAACCCTTTGTTGGGCGCAACTGATCTCACAGATTCATTGCACATAAATTCTCAAATATCTAACAGTTAAGTATCGACTCATCACTTCCGTATCTTCCCCCTCTACCGTAACCTATCACCAGTCATGTTTGTGACTTAGTGCAGTAAAGACGTATTTCTTAGTGGCATCTTTGTGTGCAATGAATCTGTGAGATCGGTTGCACCTGACAGAGGGTTAATATAAAATAATATTGAATATCAACTGTAACTGAAAATTTTAAAAAGGAGGGAAAAGGTGAAAGAAATGAGGTTCAAATTTCCAGGTATAAAACAAATAAATCATGGGGATGTAATGTACAGCAAAGGAAATACAGTCCATAATATTGTGATACCGTGGTACTATGTCAGATGGTTGCTGAACTTATGTAGGAAGCATTATCATCTCTAAGCCCACAACACTGTTCAGCGGTAGACTTATCATGGTGATCACTTCTTTAGGTATATATATGTTGAATAACTACGGTATACATCTGAAACTAATATGATATTGTATGCTAGCTATAGTTTAATAAAAAAAACTTTAAAAATTTGTTTGAAAAGCCAAAAAAATTAATAGGAAAATGGAAATAATGACATAAAAACATAAAGTAGTGAAATATATTTAAAATATTATTTTCAAGTTGATAAATACATAAAGAGGTCTTGAAAAGACTATCATTACTGATAATCTAGTAAACCAGGTTAAGAAGAAAAAGAGAAATAATAAGTAATTTTATGGGGGAAAAATCAATCCTTATCTTTTAGTAACACAAACCAATACTGAAAGATTAAATTGTCCAAGATTTTTTCAGAATAATTCAGGGTGATCATTGAAGCTGGATGAAGAATGTGCGGGGATCCTTCTGCTATTCTACACTTCCTCAAAATTGCACATTTCCCTCTTGAAGCTACAATTTGACTTTTTTTTCTCCTTGTTGTTATTTATTTAAAGTTGTTTCCAGTTTAAAAAAAAACACAGAAAACTATCTTTTTTTCTAATTTTACTTCTCCCATCATTCTACTGAAAATGCTATGGTCAAAATCACCAGTGACATCCTAACTGTAAAATTGTGTGACATATGTTTAGCTTTCAACTAATTTGATTTCTCTGCAGCATTAGATATTATTGTCCAATCTCTTTGCAAAACCGTAGGCTCTTTTTAATTCCTAAGCAACATTTGTATTTCTCTATCATCTTTCTGACTTGTCTTTTTTTTTGCTCTTTGTCATAAAAACTGTTCTCCAGAATTTTCTTCTCTACCTCTTGTGAAGTTCCATGTGATATTTCTAAATGGTGGCATGCACACCTATGTTTCAACTGCCATCCTTAGGCTTATAACCCCTAATCTGTTATCAAGTTCCTGAACTAAATTCTGTCTATTGTATGTCCCGTAGACACTACATAACCCAAACTGGTATGAGCTAAACCCTTCCTCACCAGGCTTGTGCTTCCTCCTATATTTTACATCTTATTTAATGGCATCATTGACTACTGTTGTCCCTAACTAGAAACCTGATTTCTTTTTTTACTTGTATCTCAATAATCCCTCACATCCTATCAGTTTCTCTAATCTGGTACATCTTTATATCTTTACTGTAGTTATCTATTAAAATTTAAGAGATTAAATTTTCAGCCCATGAAACCTATTGCTGAGGATCAACTGCATAAAAATAAAAGCATCGATATGTAAGAATGTAATAATATAAATTGTCATGGTGTGCTGCCTATTACCCTCTTGTTCTTTCCACTCACTAGTCCTCAAGGGTCGAGGGTCAAACCAATAGGCAACTCAATGGCAGCTGGCAGCCCTACAGCAAGCTGGCCCTGTTACAGGAGTGGTGAAGGGCAGGCGCTCATTCACATAGCTACCAGAAATGTTAACTGCTGAGGCTTGCAGTTCCTGAGACATATAGGAATTGCCCTTGAGACAGAAGAAAGATACAAACCCAGGGACAGCCTACGTTCCATGACAAACTGAACTCTCCTGCTCCATTCAGGATAACTCCCAGATTCAGAGCTCCTGGTGGTGTTGGCTAACATTTCTTCTGTTGTAACTACACCTCAGTTCAACTTCTGCTCAAGCCTGCTTCCCTGAAGCACTTGACAGATGTGGTTCCTGGGTGTACTCTCCAATAAACTCCCCACATACAAATCTCTGCCTCATCCTCTCCATCCCAGGGAATACACATTAACACGTGATGTATGGTAATTGCTTATATATCATTTATTATGTGCCAGAAACTCTGTTAAGAGCTTTACATCTCTAAATTCATTTAATTTACAGAATCCTAATGTAGTAGGAAGCATTATTATCTCTAGGCTCACAACACTGCTCAGAGGTAGAACCAGGCTTTAACACCAGGATCCTGAACCAATTTCTTTAATCACAAAGTCTCCCTTGTAAGATTAAATATATTAAATATTGTTTTAAAAATTAAAAAAGATAAATAAAATATAACAAGATGTGTACAAAAGTTTGAAAGTTTGAAAGACAGCATAGCATGCTTGAGGCAATGAAAGAAATTCAGTAATCCAGGGTTATGCAGTGAGATCATATGTAGAGAGGCCTTTGGAGATGGCCTTAGTTCAGGAAAAGGCTTTTTTAAAATTTCACTACAAGTTCTCCGACTCTGAGCTCAGTGAAAGGAATCCAAAAATGTTTTCTCTGCTGAGTTACAATGGCAATTCTGAAAAATAGTTGTCTGTGCCTTATAAATTATATTGGACTGCAGTGGTTTGGTGTATCAGGCCAGTTCTTTTGGTTTGAAGACACTGGCCTATTTCCTAGATGCCTGCCTAATTAAACTGGTTTAGTCTTTCTAAATGAGGACCCAGGTTCCTCCAAAACACTCTAAATTTTAAACGTTTATTCCATTTTGTGGTGCTATTAGCTGACTACTTATATCAATGATTTTGAACTCCTTCTGTTCTCACTGACCCTTCCTAATATCAAATAATCCTGGATCATATAATTTTAACTCTAAAATTAGACCTCTTTAGACACACATGTTTTTTTCAAGGCCTCTAGTTATTCATATATCTGATAGCTCTCTCCACATGTGATATCATATCTCCCTTTTATCTGATAGCTCTCTCTGTATCTCTGGTCCCCTTGGTCCACTGCACTAGGCTTCAGGGTCAAGGGTCAAACCAGCAGATGATTCCATGGCAGTTGGCAGCCCTGACAGCAGGCTGGCTCAGATATAGAAGTGGAAAAGAGTGGGATTTATCTTCTCTGTTCCATAGGCTACTTCAGCTTCTGCTAATGCCGATGCTTCAGCAACCATTAAAAGTCCAGATTGTTTTCTTCTTCCCTGGGACTAATCAAGTCAGAGAAGAGACCTGTGAGATATTGGTGGTGGTCTCAGCTTGAAATGTCCATTCATAATGGTAGAGAAATCAATCAGAAATATCCAGGCCACTAACATGCTGTTTTCCTCCTGGGCCTTAATCTTATTGGTATTAGGAATTATCATGGATGACTGGGTTGAACTGAATTCTGAAACAAAAAAAAATAGAAAAAGCCACAGTCCGTGGACATACACAACCATTTGGCCAGAAGGTAAGAACTATACCATGGAAAGATGTGTGGGGAGGGAAGGTTCATCTTTCCTTAACTTCTATTCACCTCCCCAGCTTACCCATTATTCTCTGGTGCAACTTCCTCGGGTTTCAGTGTGCCCATTTCCATAATCAACGTAGTCAAGGCAGACTGCAAAATCTCACCATTTGTATGTATTTGAGAAAAGTTTAGAAGTTCATAGACTTAATTGCTGGGCAGTTGAGAAGTTTTGGCAGTAGCGGCAGGGTGGCCAGCACATCTAGAACATGAGGGTGTAAAAAAGAAAGGTAGCTGGCGACAAGGGAAGTAGGTTATATTGCCACTGGAGGTGGATGGAATAAAATGGAGTGTTTCATAAGAAATGAGCTCTGAGAAAAGGATAGAAGAGAAAGAAGCTTACAGAGATACCAAGATAGAGAATAATTACTTTTGGTTCTCTCTCCCATCACCTTATGGTTCCCTGCCTCTTTATTCTACCCCCCTTCTCTTTATTATTTAACCAAACATTTTACCCTATTCCCATTTTTACTTAGAGATTTGTAGCCCCCAGGTGGAAATGAGTCTAGAAGAAATATCCGTCCTCTCATTACAGCTTCTGTTTTCCAATAGATGAACTGAAAGTGGTTAGGATCATTATGATTTTGGTCCTCAACCTTTCCTTCTTCCATAACTTGTTCCTGGGCTTAGAATTCACCTATATGATTCCTCAAACAAAATACATCCTCTTCATTGATGTCTTCATCAGTTTCTTCACAGGTAACTTCCTGGATTGCCTAACACAGGCTTGGAGGTATACTTGGTTTGTGGGTTCAGTCTATAGCTTGTGACTAACATGGTTTTCCCAGTTCTTTGGTGCAGATATGCAGCTTCTGAATTGAATCTACCACTGAAGTGGGATAGGTTCTTGGACAAGGTGCAGGGTGGAGGCTTAGAAGAAGTCAGATGCATCTGGGGCTAAGATGAGTACAAGAGCCACAGTTCCTCAAAAGGGGCTTTTTTTCCCCCTTTTGTTTGGACATCAGGTATCCTTCTGCTCTGTGCACTCCTAATGTATCATCTAAAGCTAAGGCAAGATCAATTCATGTACTACTCTAGTTATAAGATCACCTGGATCATTCCCATGGCCTACTTGAATGTTTCCTTCTTTTTTACCTCCGGTGAGTGTCTTCAGGGCCCTTGATGGGTGATAAGAACCAGTCTACCCATGATAGAAGGGAGAGTGAAAGGGGAAAGGCGAATGGGGAAAAAGGTGCTAACTCTTGCATTTTAAAGGGCTAAAAAGTTCAAGTGGACTCATTTTCTGATGACAATTCCCATTAAAGATAGAGTTGGAAATTAGGGCTGTACAACATGTTCAATATGTTTGCTTCAAAGTGTAGCTCCTTATTTCTGCCTTTTCTACTGTCTCTCACACCCTCCCCATTTCAGGGCAGAGATAACCACCCAAGTCAAGACTAAGGAGAGTGGCTGATAGGGGAGGTTCACTTATGTGGTGAAAGGCAGTAACCCTGGGTGTACAATGTAGCGCCAAGGCAGTTTTAGGTCAGAGGGAAGCAATATCTATCTAATGCTAATTGTTCACCCACCAACATTGGAGACCCTCCTTTTCTAAAAAGTCTTTAAAATTTAACCTAGAATTGCACTTTCTAACTCAGAAGCACGTCTTCTTTCAAAAAGAATCCTCAATTTTGTTAAGTTGAGCAGTAAGCTTTTTTGCATACACTTTTAGTCTCTTCCACTAAAGCATCTCCCTCCCAAATGGCCTGGGGCAATTCAAAGGGACCTACTGGGCTTTGGGTCAGCGTTTCTCTGTCAACATGGAGGGAAATGTTTCTGTGACTCTCCACTGTTCCTTTATCACCCTCCCCTGGCTTCTCTTTTCCCCAGGAGCTCTTTCTTTCCTACAGTACAAGAAGTCCAGGAATAGTTGTGCCTGTATGAACATCACCCATGATCCTTCCAGAGGAAGTCAGGATATACAAGAATCTGGGAGTACTGTTCAAGTTCTTTCATTACCAGCACGCACTGCAATGCCTCGTAGTATTGTCCGTGTACAATCTATGCGTTCAGGGGAAGATGCGCCAAAGAAATCACAAATCCAAAAACGTCGTGTAACCTGGGCCCTATGATTTAACAATCTATTTTTCAGTATATGCTCATCTGAATGGAAACAGTTTTGTGTATATGTGCTGTGTGTATCTTAACCGTGTAGTCTGTGTTGGCGTTATGTAAATGACTGATTGGGTTGGGGGTCTGTAAGAAGATCCAGAAGATGGCTTTTTTAAAAAAAAATCTTTGTCTGCTGAACACTTTCTTCTATTTGTTCTCACCATTTAAAGACATTTGTTATTAATATAATAAATATTATCATATAATACTTGCTGTATTGTTAATTATATACATCAGAAAAATTTAGAGTAATATATACCTTTTGTTTCTTTTGTTTATTTTATTGTGAAATCCCCCCCTCCCACCTCCGAGCCACTGTTCTCAGTCTAGTTGTAGCAGACACCGCTTACTGGCCCATGTTGGTATTATGATCATTGCACTCTACCCAGCTGAGGCAGTCGGTAGCCAGCCGACCGCTGACCGCTCACTGCAGCTCACTGCAGCTCTTGCCAGCTGCTGGTCGCTCAAGCTGGCTGCCGGCCACTCATGCTTGCTACCGGCTGCTCATGGTGGCTCACGGCAGCCCATAGCAGCACACAGCAGCACACAGCAACACGCAGCAGCACACGCCGACCTCCAGTCACTTACGGCAGCCCAGCTCCAGGTTGAGCCATTGTTCACAATCTTAGCTGTAGAGCGTGCAGCTTACTGGCCCATGTGGGAATTGAACGGGCAGCCCTGTTGTTCAGAGCTTGCCCTCTTACCAATTGAGCTATCCGGCCACCCCTATTGTGAAATATTTCAAACAGTCACAAAAAATGCAAAACAATATGATAAAGGCCTGTGTACACATCACCCAACTTTATGAAATTTTCACATTATATACTACTTGCTAGAGGTGTTTTAAAATTAATTTATAGACATAACTGCTGGTCCTCTAAAATTTCTCTAATCTCATTTCTCTCCTTTGTTTCTCATCACAAAACACTTTGAATAATGCATTGCTGATTGTTTTATATTAATGCTTTCATTTTTACTACAAATTTATGCATCTATAAGAATTATATAAATTAGCTTTCCAAGTGTTCAAATATTATGCAATATACTGTACAGATCATGTTTTGCAACTTGCTTTGTTCACTCAACTCTATAGTTTTGTGATTATTTTTATTTTTCAATTATAGTTGAGTATTCAGTATTGTTGACATTCAGTATTTTTTTATATTAGTTTCAGGTGTACAGAGTAGTGGTTGGACAATTATATAATTTATGCAGTGGTCCCCTCCATAAGTGTAGTACACACCTGACACTATATATAGTTATTACAATATTATTGAATATATTCCCTACACTGTACATCCCAGTGACTATTATGTAACTACCAATTTGTTCTTCTTAACCCCTTCACCTTTTTCACCCAGCTCCCCAACCCCCAACTCATCTGGTAACCATCAGTTTGTTCTCTGTATGTATGAATCTGTTTTCTTTTTGTTGTTGTTTATTTTGTTCTTTAGATTCCACAAACAAGTGAGATCACATGGTATTTGTCTTTCTCTGACTCACACTACTCAGCATAATACCCCATAGGTCTACCATGTTGTTGCAGATGGCAAGATTTCATTCTTTTTAAAGGCCGAGTAATATTCCATTGTATATATGTACCACTGCTTTTTTATCCAATTGTCTATTGATGGGCATTTTGGCTGCTTCCATATCTTGGTTATTGCAAATAGTGCTGCAGTGAACACAGGGGCATATATATCTTTTCAAATTAATGTTTTAGATTTATTCAAATAAATATTCAGAAGTGGAATTGCTGGGTCATAACTTAGTTTTATTTTTTATTTTTTGAGGGAACTCCAAATCGTTTTCCACAGTGGTTGTATCAATTTGCAAACCCACCAACAGCGTACAATGGTTCCCTTTTCTCCATATCATCACCAAGACTTATTGTTTGTTGATTTATTGATGATGACCATTCTGACAGGTGTGAGGTAATATCTCATTATGGTTTTTATTTGTTTGATGATTAGTGATATTGAGCATCTTTTCATGTCTATTGGCCATCTGTATGTCCTCTTTAAAGAAATGTCTATTCAGGTCCTCTGCCCATTTTTAAATTGGGTTATTTGTTTTTTTTCATGGTGTTGTATGAGGTGTTTTTTTAAAAAAATAAATTTTGCATGTTAATCCCTTAGCAGATGTAGCATTGGTAAATATCTTCTCCCATTCACTAAGATGTCTTTTTGTTTTGTTGATGATTTCCTTGGCTGTGCAAAAACTTTTTAGTTTGTTGTAGTACCATTTATTAATATTTTTCTTTTGTTTCCTTGCCCGATGATATATATATATAAATATAAAATATCACTAAGAGCAATGTCAGAGAGTTTACTGCCTATGTTTTCTTTTAGGAGTTTTATGGTTTTGGTCTTACACTTCAGTCTTTCATCCATTTTTTTTTTTTTAAGATTTTATTGGGGAATTGGGGGAGGGGAACAGTGCTGGGGAATCAGGGGAAGGAGAACAGACAGTTGCTGTTGTTTTGTTCTTAGTCTAGTTGTGGAGGATGTTGCTTCACTGGCCCAAGCTGGCACCATCATTGTGCTCTTCCCGGGCGAGGCAGATCAGTCACCGGCTTCTGGACGGCCGCTCACGGCGGCTGCTGTCCGCTCACGCTGGCTGCCGGCTACACATGGTAGCCCATGGCAGCCCACTGCAAGCAGGGTACTGCAGCCTACGCTGTCGCCAGTGACCCACGGCAGCCCAGCTCCAGATTGAGCTGTTGTTCAGCATCTTAGCTGTGGAGGGCAGTGTCACTGGCCCTCATACGTGGGATCTGAACCGGGGCCCTGTGGCATCCCAAGCCAGTTCTTCAACCAACGCGCCACTAGGCTGGCCCCTTTCATCCATTTTGAGTTTTTCCTTGTATATGGTGTATGAAGGTGGTCCAGTTTCAGTTTTTTTGCGTGTATCTGTCCAGTTTTCCCAACATTATTTATTGAATAGACCATCTTTACTCCACTGCATGTTCTTTCCTATTTTGTCATAGATTAATTGACCATATGGGAGTGGGTTTACTTTGGGGCTCTCTATTTTATTCCATTGATCTATGTGTCTGTTTTTATGCCAATCTCATGCTGTTTTGATTTTTATAGACGTGTAGTATCATTTCATATAAGGTAGCATGATACTGCCAATTTTGTTCTTTTTCTTAAGATTGCTGTGCCTAATCAGGGTATTTTGTGATTCCATATAAATTTTAGGATTATTTGTCTTAGTTCTGTGAAGAAGGCCATTGGTATTTTGATAGGGATTTCATTGAATCTATACATTGCTTTGGGTACTATGGATATTTTAACAATGTAAGTTTTCCTATTCATGAACACAGTATATGCTTCCATTTTTAAAAAATCTTCTTCAGTTTCTTTCTTTAATAACTTATACTTTTCCAAGTACAGATACATTAACGTCTTTGTTATTTTTATTCCTGGGTATTTTACTTTTTTTTGATGCAATTGTAAATGGGATTTTTTTCTTAACTTATCTTTTGGACAGCTTATTGTTGGAGTATAAAAATGCAACTGATTTCTTAATATTAATTTTGCATCCTGCTACTTCACTGAAGTAATTTATCAGTTATAATAGTTTTTTGGTGGAACCTTTCAGGTTTTCTATATGTAGTGTCATGTCATCTGCAAATAATGACAGTTTTACTTCTTCCTTTCTCATTTGGATGCCTTTTACTTTTTCTCCTGTCTGATTGTTGTGGCTAAGACTTCCAATACTACTAGGGGTGCCAACTTTGATTAGCATTGCTCAAGCAGTAGTTTGCCCTAATTAGAAGTGTCTGGATGCTGATGGTAACCACTTTGAACACTTCTTATAATTGCAGAAGTCAAACGTGAGTTGTATTCATCTTTTGTTATCAGTATATATTGAGCATGACAATTTTAATAGTTTTTCCCTTTCTTAAAATGTGTATACATTTTTTGGGCACCCTCTGTATATTGAATAAAAGTGGTAAAAGTGGGCATTCTTGTCTTTTTTTCTGATCTTAAGGATGCTTTCAGCTTTTCCCCTTTGAGTATGGTATTAACTGGGAGTATTTTATATATAACCTTTAATATGTTGAGATATGTTTCTTCTATACCACTTTGCTGAACGTTTTTATCATACATGTATAATAATTTTGTCAAATGCTTTTTCTGCATCCATTGATTTGAGTACATGATTTTTATTTTTTATTTTTTTGTTTCTGTGATGTATCATGTTAATTCATTTGTGGATCTTGACAAACCTTGCAGCCCAGGAATAAATCACACTTGATCATGGTGTATGGTCCTTATAATGTATTGCTGAATTTGTTTTGCTAATATTTTGAAGGATTTTTGCATGAATGTTCATAAGGGATATGGATCTATAATTTTATTTTAAATATTTTTTATTTTTTATAATGTCTTTGTCTGGTTTTGGAATCAGGGTAATCCTGGCCTTGTAAAATAAGCTTTGGAATTTTCCCTCCTCTTGAAATTTTTGAAATAGTTTAAGGAGGATAGGTGTTCATCCTTTTTTGAATGTTTGTTAAAATTCAACTGTGAAGACATCTATCTGGCTCAGGACTTTTGTTAGTTGGGAGTTTTTTTGATTACTGATTAGATTTTGTTAGTAGTAATCAGTTGGTTCAGATTTTCTATTTCTTCTTGATTCAGTCTTGGAAGTTGTATGTTTTTAGGAATTTATCCATTTCTTCCAGATTGTCCAATGTGTTGGTATATAATTGTTCATTGTATTATCTCATAATTCTTTGTATTTCTGTGGTGTTGGTTGTTACTTCCCTGTCATTTGTGATTTTATTTATTTAGGTTCTCTTTTTTTTCGTGATGAGTTTGGTTAAAGGCTTATCAATTTTGTTTATCTTTTCAAAGAACCAGCTATTGGTGTCATTGATCTATTGTATTTATTTTTTTTTAGTCTCTACTTCATTTATTTCCACTCTGATCTTCATTATTTCTTGTCTTCT